AGGAAGGAAGGAAGGAAGGAAGGAAGGAAGGAAGGGGGAGGGAGGGAGAAAGGTATTTTGTGTGTGTGTGTGTGTGTGTAGAGAGAGAGAGAGAATAAACAAATCTGTTCTCCTAGACATCAAAAATAAGTAATAATCATTGAGTTTTTAAAACAAAAACATATAGTAACATAACAAAGAGCTCCAAAATAGACCAATAAATACAAAAAAAAATATGTATAAAGTGAAGGTGACAATTCAAATGAATAAAGAAATAGGACTGGGGGTGTAGCTCAATGGTAAAGTGTGCTTATTAGCATAAGTGAGGCCTGGGCTCAATCCCCAGCATCAAATAGAGAGAGAGAGAGAAAGAGAGAGAGAGAGAGAGAAAAATATTGTAATGTTCAACAATGGTGTAGATACAATTGGATATCTATTTAGAAATATAATGGCAATTCTCACACACAATATTCATGAAAATGAGGGAGCTGACAACATATGCTTTTGATGCCTTTGTTAAGAATCAGTTGGATGAAGGGCTGGCAATGTGGCTCAGTGCTACAACACCTGCCTAACCTGTGAAGCCCTGGGTTCAATCCCCAGCACAGAGGGAAAAAATTAGTTAACTGATTCTCTTTAGTTTGATAATAAGACAAAAACTTGAATTTTAAAACATAATATTTTAATAAACATTGCATCATAGAATATTAGCATGGCTAATAAGCTCATGAGATGTTCAACATCATTAGTCATTTGAGAAATCAAAGCTATAACATACCCATACTTTTCTATATTATGCTCTTATAGAATAGCTGTAATAAAAAGACAGACAGTACAAATGTTGATGATAATGGTAGATGGACTGAAAACTCTCATGCATTGCTGGTGGGAATATAAAATGGCACAATCATTTTGAAAAAACATTTGGCAGAATTTTTGTGTTTTCCCCACATTGGTGCATATTGATCATACAGAATAATTGGTTTCATTGTGACACATTCATATATGCATATACAATCAATTTCACTCCCCCGTACTTCCCATTATCCTTCCATTCTCCCTCTCCTGATCCCTTTTCTCTATACCAATGATCTATCTTCTACTCATGACATCTTTTTTTTCTTTTTATTGCTCTAGCCTCCACATATGAGGAAAAACATATGATACTTGTCTTTCTGAATCTGATTTATTTCACTTCATGTGATACTCTCCAATTCCATCCATTTTTCTGCAAATGATAATTTTTGTTCTTTTTCATGGCTGAATAAAACCATATATATATATACATATATATAGTTTATATATATAAACTTTTTATATATATAACTATATATATAAACTATATATAGTTATATATATATAAACACATATATATACATATATATATCACTTTTTCTTTATCCATTCATCTGTTGATAGACATCTAAGTTGATTCCTTAAACTTGACTATTTATTGTGAATTATGCTGAGACAAACATGGGTCTGCAGTTATCTCTGAAGTATGCTGACTTTAATTTTTTCAGATAAATGTCAAGGAGCAGTATAGCTGGATAATATGGTAGATCTATTTTTAGTATTTGAGGAACCTCCATCTGATGTCCATAGTGGCTGTAACCAATTTATTCCCATCAGCAGTGTATTCAACCTCCTGCCCCACCACATCCTCACCAGCATTTATTGTTATTTGTGTTCTTGATGCCAGTCAGATTGCCATTCTGACTGGGGTGAAATGGAATCTCAATGTAGTTTTGGATTGCATTTACCTGATGGGTAAAGATGTTGAACATTTTTTTCATATAATTGTTGGCCATATGTACTTCTTTTGAGAAGGGTCTGTTCAGTTCATCTGCCCATTTATTGACTGAGTTATCTGGGTTTTTGGTGTTACATTTTTTGAGTTCTTTTTATATTCTGGATATTAATCTCTGTTGGAAGAGTTTCTGGAAAAGATTTTGTCAGATTTTTGCTCGCTCTGTTGTTACTTTTTCTGGGCAGAAGCTTCTTTTTTCTTTTCTTTCTTTTTCTTTTCCTTTTTCAATACTGGGGATTTGCCCAAGCTGGCCTCAAACTTGTAATCCTCCTACCTCAGTCTCCTAAGTCACCAGGATCACAGATTTTTACCACCACATCTAGCTAGCTATGCAAAAGCTTTTAAATTTTATTTAGCAGAGATTTTTTTAAGTGAAGCATAAACTTGCTATTTGACCCAGAAATTCTACTCCTTGGATTCTGTCCAAAAGGCATGAAAACATATGTCTACATAAAGGCATGTACATGAACATTCATAGCAGCCTTACTCAGACAAAAATTGGGAATACTCCAAATGTCCATCAATTGCTTACTAAACAAAATGTTTTATGACCATGCAACTAGATACTAGTAATAAATTAAAATGAATGAAATACTCATACAACATGATGCAACATGGTTAACAACTGCTACAACCAAAGTAAACCTCAAAAATGGAAAGAAGCAAACATGGAGTGTGGGGAGCCACTCTGAATGATTCACGCCTTCCATCCTGGTGCTACAGGCTTTGACCAATCACTACATAGTGACCTGGACGTTGTCCCAGTCCAGGAAGTTGAGGGTGTATCTTCAGATGTAGTCATGTCACCCAAGGAGTTAACTACACTTACCTGTTCCTTTGTGATATTGCCCCTTCGCCCTGTTTGGGATAGAATGTTCCATGGTCCCTTTGTGTGTCCCCTTCTCTTGCTCTGCCTTTGGGTGTGGCCTTCCTAGATGTCAGTCAACCTGCTGACAGCAGTCATCACCAAGCTAGACTCAACCCCCTGAAACCTGACCCCTTGCTTCATTTGAATGGCATCTCTGCAATAAAAGGGTTCAGTACATGCTCTCTGGCTGTTTCAGCAGACCCTTAAGGTCAGAAGAGCCATCACAGGACCCAAAGAAACAGGTATCTCTGTCTCTTGTGTGATTATTTCGTGCAGCCTAGTTCCCCTGGAGTGACCCTGAGTGTTTTTGTCGAGTGGAACACAACAATGGAAGTTACATATTCTATAACTGCACTGATATGAAATATCTAGTAAGAGACAAATTTGTAAAGAGAGGCAGTAAGTGCCTAGGTCTGGGTCTTGAGCAGGGATGAAATGCAAAGAGGTATGAAAGAACTTTTTGAAGTAATGAAAATGTTCTAAAACTTCATTGTAGTGATAGTTTCACAACTCCATAAATTTACGAATAACCATTAAGTTAAAAATAAAACTCCTGTCACCAATCAGGAACAAATGGATATGATGTGCCTTCAGAGAAGAACACAGGATCATTTTTTAGTATTCAAACCCCAAAATGTATAGCTTTAACCTTACCATAAAACATCAAAGAATGCCAAATTATTCTATAAAATACCTACCTATATCTTTCAAAAATATTAATGACATGAAAATACAATGGTCTAAGAAACTATTCCAAATAAAAGGTGATTAGAGACAGACATCTGAAAACAAGACACAACATTGCTCTGTCTTGCTTCAGGAGAGGGGGGAAGTAGAGCTATTTTAAGACTTTAATGGTATAATTGGAAAATGGGCTAGATTAAAGTATGGCGTCAATGTTAAATTTCTTTTAATTTTATAACTAAAGATATATAAGCAAATATTCTTTTTTTTAATTTTTTTTTTGGTTTTTTTTAGTTGTAGATTTTTATTTATTCACTTTTATGTGGTGCTGAGGATTGAACCCAGGGCCTCACCCATGCAAGGCAAGCACTCTACCACTGAGCTACAACCCCAGCCCCGAAAGACATTCTTAAACACAACTAGTGGGACCATAAATTGACAGAAACTTTCCTCAGAACAATTTGTCAAAAATATTAATTTCCACCAAATATACATAAACTTTGACCTATCAATTTAAATTCTAGCCATTTATCCTAAGGAAATAATTCATGTGGCAAAGATTTCTGAATAAGAATAGTTACAAGACAGGTAATCTACAAATCCAAAATCAGCAGATAAAAAAAAAATTATATAAAGTTTTTTGCAGCTATTAAAATTTGGTTCATAAATGTTTTACAGTGCTATCCATATGCAATTGCAATATATTAAGTGAAAAAGAAGGATAAAATTCCAAATATCATTTGACTCAATTTTGGTGAGAAGCTGTAGCTCTGGATGAAGTAAAGGATGAAAGAGACATATATCAAAATGTATTAGGTTTTTAATCAGTAGTTTGCTCCTATACCCAATCATTCTTTAATCCTCTATAAGACTGAGGGTTGGAATTATAGGTAATGATATTTTACTTGTCAATATTTCATTTTATCTCTAAAATTAGCATATATTCCCTTTTGTGCTAAGGGGGATAAAATCATAATTTTAAAATAAATTAGGGGGAGGTTTCCTATCCCAGAATGTATTTTGGTGATATGTTTCCTCCCAATCAACTTCAAAACAGCTGTATTTCAGTTAATTGCTACTTCTGTCCGTCGCGCTCTGTTCCCTGGTGCAGACATCATGTGGCTCATGGCGGATTCACAATTACTCATCCTCTCCTTGGCACATCTATTATTTTCATCACAGCTCTGGTAGGTGTGTGTCATGTGGCAACAATGGAGAAGCAATGAAGCAGGCTCATCAATGCTGTTCATTGCTTGGGTACCGGGTCTTTCGTAGATCCACAGCTGCAGCACAGGTCACATGCACCATCCAGATCTCGGCTTCCAGAAGTTAGCTCTAAATTCTGATGTGAAGGGTTTTCCTTTCACCCATGTCTGGGTCGCTGGCAAAAGTTTCAGAGGTCTCAGTCAAAGGACAGCAGCCTCCATTCCCTGGGGCTCAAGGTGAGGCAGAACATCAAGGCAGAAGAGCGTGGCAGAGAAAAGCAGCTTGCATAAGGGTCAGGAAGCAGAGAGAGCAAATATTCTTATTCCTAGGAAATATGCACTGAAATGTCATGGGATAAAGGGACCTGATATATATAACTTCCTCTCAAATGGCCCAGCAAGTAGAGAGAGAAATTGATGATAAATAGGTAGGTAGGTAGGTAGGTAGGTAGGTAAGTAGGTCAGTAAGTAGATACTGTACTATCTTTCTGAGAGATAAAGAATGATAAAGCAAATGTGGCAAAGGGTTGAAAGTTGACAAAGGATAAGTGGGACAACTTTGTACTATTCTTGCAAAGTTTCTGTGAGTTGGGAATTAATTCAAAATAAAGAATTTAAAATTTTAAAAATCAATAAAACAGACTGACACTTTTTTAACATGTTATTCCTGAACAATGGGAGCACCATCTTAATGGGCAAACATGAGTGGCATTCTCAACAAAGCCTGAGGTGAGAAAAAAAATCACCACTTTCTCACCATTATTTAACTTGTACTGGAGGTGCCAGTCAACAGAATAAACTAGAGCAAGACCTTACAGGTGTAAAACTTCAAAAAGAGGGGAAACATCACCATTGCAGACCATATGATTCTAAAATCTAGAAAACTGGGCAGGGGTCAGGATTCTGTAAGACATCTGAATACAAAACCAATATACAGAAATCAATAGCTTTCAGGTATAATAGAAAAGTGCTGTAGTTTGACTTTTGTCTAAGCATTTGGCAAAAATCTGCTATTTAGCTTCAGCCTCAGTCTTTAAAGGACAGGTAACCAAATAACTACCTTCAATGTCTTTGCCATCATCACAGCTAATCTTTGTAACAGCATCAGTAATACAAGGCCATTCCTCCCTCAGTTGTTTTCTGGAAGTAAGAACAACACAGCATATTATACCACAATTACCAGAATTACTATGAGATAAGCAAAGAGAGAACAAGCCATAGTTTTCATTTTTTTTAAGGGCAAAGAAGTTGCTGTACAATGGGTTTTCAAAGCTGTATTTTTCTTGTATTTACACAAAACATTCAAATAAGATAGAGAAACCAACATAGCATGTTGAAAATCATCTCTCAAATAAAAAAGAGAAGCGATAATGCACTTGTTAATATTTGGTGATTGCAAACAATAGCAAACAGCAGGTAGCTCTAACATATGGCAGAAAAATACACACAACATGTTGCCGTTCCAGAAAGAAAAGGAAAACCTCACGTTATGTTTGTAAATACAGAGGATAGGATCTTATCACACATCAACGTTAGGTGGGCAGTTGAGAGACTGACCTTTTCTACACTGTTTGGGTTGTTTTTTGAAAACAGATGTACCACTAGTCAATCTTAGATGTTACTCCTTGGGTGAAAAATAAATAAATAGAAATGTTTTACCCACTTCCTTCTGTATTAAAGGGGTAATAGAACAGTCTTCATTTCAACCAATGCCAAGAGCACTATAGGAGTCCCAAGCCATTGGCATCTCATATGTAACAACAAGGATTCCCAGTGCTCAAACAAGGCTCCTCAGGAAACTCTTGAGCACCATTCAATAATGTCCACCTTGTACCCAAGATCCTGTACCCAAGGTCCTTACACTTTCTTCTCCCAGTGGGACTCACCTGTGGCCACCAGATTGCCTGTCCAGACCCTGAAGTCTAAAGTCATTTTTTCCAAATGAGTCCACATAGAAGCTCATGCATTTCATGGTGCCTAGCTGGGTAGTATTGGTTGATACCAAGACAGCCCAGAGAGCAGGCATGATAGTCCACCCCACAGCCTTTGTCTGGGCTGTTTTAAAAAGAAAGAAAAATCAAGCAGGATGAAAGACTGTCTGAGTGGAAGCCAGCCCAGCCATTCCTGCACTATGCAGACATTGTGCCATGAAAACACCTGGAGAGTACTTCCTTACAGGTCTGACCTCTTTTTAGGATGATGATTTCTTTATCATTCTCTGAGAACCTGCTATATGTGGTTGGGGAACAAACTGAAACTGTCAAGTGATTATAAGCATAATAAATAGTAAATAGCTACATTTGGTAAGTACTTACTATGTTCCAGAAACTGTGCATACTCTCTCATAACCGCCCTGCCCAGTAGAAGGCGTTCTCTCCATTTTACACATAAGAAAACTAAGGCTTAAAAGAAGTGAAGTGACTTGCCAACAATTACTCCACAGGAAAGCAGCAGACCAGGAGAGGAATCCAGGTGTGTGTGTTCCAGGTTGCTTCTGAGTGCTTCTGCCTTGGAGCAGGAACACATTTCCTTGGAAGGAGAGCTCACAGAGATTCTGAGTAAAGCTGGAATAAATCACAGGGTCAAGGACTGATGAGGTTGCAGGTGAGCACGCTCAGACCAAGCATGCAGCAGACTCAAGTTGGCACTAGCCAGGGGCAGGTGCCATCCACTCAGAGCTGCAAGCCTAGCCAGGTGTTCTGAGCCCCTCCCTGTGTGCCCACCTATCTTATGTTCCCCATCTGCTCCTGCTCCCTCTCTTTCTCATGGCACAGATGGTCACAGACAGGTCTCTCCAGGGCCAAAGCAGGTTGTTTCCTTGAAGCTTCACCACCACCCCTACCCTCTGCCGGGAAGCCCAGTGCTCAGCACACAAGTTCTCCTGAAGGAGGAGCATGCAGAGACCTCAGGCTCTGGGCAAGGCCTTCAAAATCCTAGAAGCCCATACTAGTAATATAAGGTATTGATTTAACATTTGAGCAGCCATCTTAAATGCTAACCGCCATCTTATGAGATAAGTTTCGTTTTTCTGCACTTCCTCCTACCTAACTTCCCTCATCCCCTGTTAGTGACCTACCCCATGGTATAATAACCCTAAGTCAATCCCAGAAGGACACAACCCCTTGACTCTGGAGAGCCTCGAGGGGCCACTGCACAACAACAACTCCAAACCCCTGCCCATAAAAGCTGAACACCTGAATATCTCAGGCGCCTCCTCTCTACAGAGAGATGGCCTTTAGTTGTCAGCTTTGACAAATAAACCTTTTTGTGGATCTCTGCCTGGTCTCAGTCCTTCATTTCTCACTCTCTCCTCTCTCACTTTTTCACTTTCATTTCAAGTTCTTCAACCCGAGTCCTGCCCCAGCCCAGGTCTCCCACCAGCACAGGGGAAAATTTCCAGCTCTCAATCAAGAACACATGAAATTCCGCCAGAGGAGAGGATCCCTTACTGCAGGCCAGTTGTGCCGAGAAAAATTCTGAAGGCAACCCAAACACTTGAATCCCATCCACATCATTAAAAGGAAGAAACAGGGCCACCATCACTCCATAAATCACCTTCCACCTGATACCTCAACTGCTCAGTGAAAACAAGATCAGCAATGTTGAACTTCCGCTTAAAACAGGATCTTGGGAAGGTGCTTACAGGGAATTCCTAGATCCTGTCTCCAATCATTCAGATTCAGTGGCTCTGGGATGAAGCAAATAATCTGTATTTTTAATATGTATTTTTTTAGTTGTAGGTGGACACAATACATTTATTTTGTTTTTATGTGGTGCTGAGGATAGAACCCAGTACCTCACACATGCTAGGCAAGCACTCTACCACTGAGCCACAGCCACAGTCCATAATCTGTATTTTTTCATGAGCCTGTGAGGGGATTCCTATGCCATTAGAATGACAAAATACTAGCTTAAATGTCCATTAAGACCTGATTTAAATTTAAAGATCATATAAAGGCACACCATACAGCCCTATAAAGGGAGATCCTATTTAAAGGGCAGGTAAAGTATGCATGTAATTTGCTTTTTTAAAAGAATTTAACATTTATTTTTTATGTGGTGTTGAGGACCAACGGAGTGCCTCACACATGCTAGGCAAGTCATCTACCTCAGCCCTGTAATTTGCTTTTAAATGCACAAAATATTCTGGAATGAGAAATTATAACGTTACATAGAAAGTAAGGAATCACATGGTTAAGGGACAGGGATGGGAGGAAATGCTGAGGTCCTCTCCAATGGTTTAGAAATATTGCCTATTCCTAAATCAGTGTTTGAGTGTCTTCTCCTGTTAACACTAGATGAGGAACCGAGCCACACCTTCATTTTTGCCACCTCAACACACCATGCAGATGCAGATGTGCCACTAAGCTGACACTCAGTTTAAAAACCCCTGATGCCTATCATCTTCAGTGGGGCTTGAAATGCCAGAACCAACTCTGCTAATTCCCGGCTCCTGGACGAATTATTCATCCTTCCAGATGACATTTTCCATATCTGTAAATTGAACTAAAAACAGATGCACCTCGGATATGTAATGCGGTCACCGTAGATAAACTCCACTTCAGCTGGTGGTAGCATAATAATTACTACAGCACTGACTCTCCCACCATAAACAGAAAATGCAGAAGCCGCATCATCAGAATGACGCTAGCTTCACTCTCCTCCTAACACCCCAGAAAGGTGAGACTGGTCATCTACAACTGAGGCTAATAGAGACCTAGGGGTGTCCCCCGAAAACACTCGCACCACTATTGGGCCTAGGGTAGCACGAGGGCACTTCCGGGGTGGGGCCTGAGTGGAGGCGGATCTTACACCTGGGGGTGCTGATTTGGCATTCCACTCGCGAGACTTGAACCCTAATAGGTCTTCACTGGGCATCTGAGGTAAACGCGAGGAAAGCCGAGAACTGGACACCGGAAGCCGAGACCTAGAACAACTCTTTTGCTCTGCCCCCTAAGGGCCCATAGAGGTATTTCCCCACAGAGACCCACCAATCACAGCCAAAGCTATTGGCCAGCAGACACCTCCCATCTGGGGCGGAGCTCCGTAGGGGCGGGGCTTAGCGTGACACTTTGCGACTTGGCTTGCGCTGCGTCGCTTGCAATACAATTGGCCGTCTAGGGCGCATCCGGGTCTGTGTAAAGAAGGCCTAAGGTTCTAAGGTGCGAGGCCGAGCCCAGCAGCGGGCGCAGATCCACAGAAGCCAGGACTGCGGCCCATCCAAAAGCTCAGCCCACCTCACCTATCCTCCGGACCTGTCTGTCACCGCGCGCAGGACCGCGCCGCCTGCGCCACGCACTCACTTTGCCCCGAAACGAGAGCATCCACCACAGCGCCGTCGACATG